TATTATTAGATATAATGGGGATACCAGAAGGAGAAGAGGAGTAAGGCATAGAGAACATGTTTCAAAAAGCAATGATGGAAAACTTCCCTAATTGGAGGAGAGAAAAACTCACACAAGTCCAGGAAGCACAGAAGGTCCCATTCAAGAGGAACCTAATGAGGCCCACTCCAAGACATATCATCATTAAAATGGCAAATATCAAAGACGAAGAGAGAATCTTAAAGGCAGCAAGGGAGAAACAGGTAGTAACATATAAGGGAGCCCCCGATATGGATAGCAGCTGACTTCTCAACAGAAACCCGACAAGTCAGAAGGGAATGGCAAGAAATATTCCAAGTAATGAAAAGCAAAGGTCTGGAACCAAGACTGCTCCACCCAGCAAGACTGTCAATTCAAATGGAAGGCGAAATAAGGAGTTTCCCAGACAAAAGAAGGCTGAAATAAACCTTCAACATACCAGCATTGCAAGATATGCTAAAGGGACTGCTTTAAGAAGATGAAGAAAAAGAGTCTATGAATACCCAGTTCATTTCACAGTCAGCAATACATGATATTACCAATATTTTTAATACTTACTAATCTGATTGTGACAATGATTTTTTATTTTAATTGTTACTTTATTATTTCTTGAAACTAAACCTTTTTTTGTATATTCCTTGCCTATTTCTATTATTTTTTTTAAAAAAAGCTTTAAATGACTTTTTGGTATTCTTTATCTGTTTTTTGATTAAATGTTTGTATAATTTTTTCCCTAAAAAAACCCAACAAAAAGCCAATACAAAAGAACCTATGCACCCCAATACTCATAGCAGCACAATTTACAATAGCCAAGTATTGGAAGCAACCTAAATGCCCATCAGTAGATGATTGGATGAAAAAGTTATGGTACATATACACAATGGAATACTACGCAGCAGAAAGAAAAAAAGAACTACTAAACTTCACGACAGCATGGATGGAACTCGACAGCATTTATGTTAAGCGAAATAAGCCAGGGGGCGAAAGACAAATACCATATGATCTCACCTATAAGTGGAACCTAACCAACAATACAAAGATGCAAGGAAAATAAGACCAGCAACACTGAAAGGAAAAGAAATCAACAGAGACAAGAGGGAAGGAGGGAGGGGGGACAGGGAAAAGGAAGGGAAGGGGAAAGTCAAGGAACATATAGCAAGGACTCATGGACACAACCAAATGGGAAGAGCTGAGGGAGGGAGGGAGGGAGGGAGCAAGGGAAAGTGGTGGGGGTAGCCAGAGACAAATGTATTTGAAAAAATAAATTAAAATAAAATTTTAAAAAACCAACCATGAGTAATCACAAGTTTAATTTTCCAGCTGAACTACAGCACAATTTTTTCAAATTTATAATAAAGTTCCATTAAGATTATGATAATACATTATATGTATAAGTTAATTTGGAAAGAATTGGTACATTTACAATATTTTACTTTCCCCTGTGGGAATATATTTATTTTCATGCATTCCATTATTCATCCTTTTCTTTTAGTAAAATTTTATAACTGTCAAAAAAAAACCCCAACAAATTATTAACTCTTTTATAGATATGTTGCAAATACTTTCCTATTCTACTACTTGTCCTTTATCTTTTTTTACATGAATATTATTGTATAGTCTTAAATATTTAATATAGTCATATTGTCAATATTTTTCTTTATAGCTTCTGGGTTTGAATATGTTACTTTAGGGTAAGAAAAATATTATTTTGTATTTTCTCCTAAAACTCCTTAGAATTTACATATTGATTTTAACTCACCTGAATATTTTTTTGTACAATGTGTGAAACAGGGCTCTATATTTGTTTTATTTCAAGTAATAGTGGTCCATGCACCTTATTTGTTGAATAAGCCTTATTTTCCCCATTGATTTGAAATATCATTTTAATCATATATTACAGTGTTAGAAAGATGTATGTGCTTATTTCTAGAATGCTCATTTTATTTCATTGATCTACTTGATTACTTCTGCTCAGGTGTCATGATTGCTGAGACTTTATAATGGATTTACATTTTTTAATATTTTATAATGGATATTGACATTTAAAAAAGTAAATAAAATCAATCTGAATTTAAAAAAAGAGAGAAGGAACCTTTTGTGACAACATGGATGGAACTGGTGAATATTATGCTAAGTGAAATAAGCCAGTCAGTGAAAGACAAATACCGAATCTGTTCAACAAAATAAACTAATGACCAAAATAAACCACAGCAAGGAAACATGGAGCAGAGTGAAAGTCACCAGAGAATATGAGGAAGGAGGACAATGGTGGAAAGAATGAGTAAGGACTAGACAAAGAACATGTATGAATGACCCATGGACATGGACAACAGAGTGGGAATTGACTATGGGAGCGGGAGCAGGGTGGGATGTGTGGAGGAGGGCAAAGGGGGGAAAATTGAGACAACTGTAATAGAATAAATTGATTTAAAAATAAAATAAAAAAATGAGGACAGGCTTAGGAACCTCTGGGACAACTTTAAACGCTGCAACACTGAATCATAGTGATGCCAGAGGAGAAGAGCAAGAAATTGAAAACTTATTTGAACAAATAATAAAGGAGAATTTCCCCAATCTGGCCAAGGAAATAGACTTCCAGGAAGTTCGGGAAGCTCAGAAAATCCCAAAGAAATTAGACCCAAGGAAGCACACACCAAGGCACATCATAATTACCCCAGATTAAAGATAAGGAGAGAATCTTAAAAGCAGCAAGAGAAAAGGAGACTGTTCCCTACAAAGGAGTTCCCAGAGGACTATCAGCTGATTTCTCAAAAGAAACCCAAGTCATGAAAGGCAAGGACCTACATCCAAGATTCCTCTATCCAACAAAGATATTATTTAGAATAGAAGGGCAGATAAAGTCCTTCCCAAATAAGGTAAAGTTAAAGGCATTCATCATCACTAGGCCCTTATTATATAAAATGTTAAAGGGACTTATCTAAGGAAAAGAAGAAGATCAAAACTGTGAACAGTAAAATGACAACATATTCAAACTATCAACAACTGAACCTAAAAAGAAACAAAAACAGGAACAAACTAAGCAAACAAGAACAGGAATAGAATCACAGAAATGGAGGCCACATGGAGGGTTATCAGTGGGGATGGGGTGCAGGGAGAATGGGGGAAAAGGTACAGGGAATTAGAAGCATAAATAGTAGGTACGAAATAGATAGGGGGAGATAAGAATAGTACAGGAAATAGAGAAGCCAAAGAACTTGTATGACTTAGCCATGGAAGCCATGACTTAGGTCAAGGACATGACCTAAGGGAGGGGGGATGATGGTGGGAGAGGGGGTGCAGGGCAGAGAGGAATAAAGGGGGGAAAATGTGACACCTGTGAGAGCATAATCAATAAAATATAAGGAAAAAAATTCAGAATAATCATTTTTAGAAAGTTTTGTGAACTATAAGGAAACACAGACAAATGAATAAATTAAGAAAACAATACATGAACAAGACAAGAAGTACAACAAAGAAAGTGCTACCATCAGAACACCATAAAAATCCCAAATAAAGAAAAGTACAGTTATTGAACTGAAGAATTCAATACAGAGTTTCAAAAGTAGACTTCACCATGCAGAAGAAAGAATCAGTGACCTGAACATTAGAAATTACCAGTCAGAGGAGCATTAAAAAAAGAATGAAAAAAGCCTATGAGAATTATGGGACACAATAAAAATAAACAAGTTTCACATTATGGAATTTCTAGAAGGAAAAGATAAATATAATGGGACAGAAGGTAAATTTAAAACAATAATTGCAGAAAAATTCCTGAACCTGGGGAAAGAAATGAATATACATAATCATGAAGCCCAAAAGATCACAAATAGGCTACACCAAGATGCATTATAATTAAATTGTCAAAAATCAAAGAGAAAGAAAGAATTTTAAGATCAGCAAGAGCAAAGAGAGAAGTTAGATACAAGGGAATTCCTATAAGGTAATTGCAGGATTTCACAACAGAAACTTTTCAAGCCAGGAGAGAATGGGTTGCCATGTCTGTCTACATATATTAAAGTGATCTTTTATAGCACTCAAGTTTATAATTGTCTTCATTTAGGTTCCACAGATATGTTTCAACTAATTCATAGGTATTGTCAAATCATTTTTCTATTAATTGTTTCTGGTATATGGGGATGATTCTGATATAGGGACGACATGACTTTAAGATACTTGTTAACCTTACTAGGAGAGTTTTTACATGAATTTTCTTGACGTTAGAGATATACAGGATCTGGCAAAAATAGCACCCCTTTTTTATTACAAAATCATACACATGTAATTCTGTAACATAACAATATCATATTGAAGCATACCATGTGACATTTTAGGTGAAATGTTCAAATTAAAACTATGATTTTTTACACCCATATTTTTACCCTATCAACAACACTCAAGCCAGCTTTACTTCTGCCAGACCCTGTACAATTACTTGTTTTCCAAATGACAGTCTGTATTATTTTTAATGGTGTCACATGTTTATTTACTGTAGTTTTTTTAAAAGTAGTTTTAAAATTTGACAGGGCTATTCATCTTATCACTCTTCTTCAAATGAGCTTTTGTTTTAAAAAAGACAATTTTACTTCATTATTTCATTTTATTATAGAAATATTCAAAAATAAAGAGCAGACTAGAATAGTTCCATATATAATGTGATCTCAATTATATAAAATTTACATCTACACAAAAGCATAGAAAAATAACTGGACAGAAATGACAAAATAATAGCAGTTACCTCTAAGCAATTTTTTATTTGCTTTATTATATTTCACTTTTAAAACCTTCGTTTTTCTTATAAAAAGACAAAAAATATCAAAAATAACTATAAAAATTGCAACAAAAATTACCTAGTACAACTATTGTGATCACTTTAGTTCCGTATGCTGACACAGAAATATCTGGCAGACAGTAAAGGAAAAGGGTGAGAATGGCATTTATTGGCCTAATGTGAATTCCATTAAAGTGATTTTATTTATAATTACCTTTTTCTGAGCCAGAATGAGATCTTGGTCTACTTTAGACATTAAAAATGAGCCACCATCATGTTCCATCCAGTAAAATTTCAAGTCCTTTAAATGTACTTTTTCATCTAGTTTTAATCTGTGGAGGAATGAAAAAAGACTGGTATGAAAAAACTAATTATATATATTCAGTAGTTCAATCTTAAAAATTCAATTTCTGCTTTAGTCTTTATTTCATAATTTTGTGCTAGAAATAGTGGTAAGCCTTTAGAATTCAGATTTTTATTTAAGAACATTATTCTGCCTATAAGAGAAAGAACAGTTTGGAATGGTCAGATCTGAAGATGGAGTGAGAAGTCATAAGGCTCTGGTAGTAATCCAGTTGAGAAATTATTGTAACCTATACCAGAACTGTAACCATGGTGACAGAAATGTAATGATGTAGGATATAATTGTGAGGTAATCTTCACTGGAGATTGCTTAGACATAAGCAGTGATAGAGATAGGGAATCAAGCTTTAGTTACTGGGTTGATCATAGTATACTCACTGAAATTGGGAAAGAATAAAAATAGCAAATCAGTTTTGTGGGGCTTGAAAAAAGAATGAAATCAGTTTTAGATATATTCTGTTTCAGGTCTTTGGGATGCCCAGTATGCCAGTTAATACACACTCTCATAGCTAAGGTGATAAGAAGAAACTGGAGATGCAGGTATACGGGAGGTAACTGAAGTAGCAGGTGTAAATGGAGTCATCCTGGGAGGCTGGGGAAAGAGAGGAGAATGAAGTGAGCCAAGAACCTCTAGTGTACCAATATTTAAGTATAAACTACCAAGGTAGATAAAAAGGGAAAAGCATAGATATACAGATATAGGAGCTATATCAGAAGAGTGTGAATCACGAAATCCAAAGGTAGAGATTGTTTCAGGAAGGAATGAATATTCAATATGGTCACCAGTTCCAAGATGAGAGAAGTTGACAAAAAATTTTTAGGTGTGGAAAGGTGTAAATCAGTATGTAGTGTAGGCATGTTTACTTATAATGAATATGGAAGATTTTATGTGTGTGTGTGTGTGTGTGTGTGTGTGTGTATAATGTGCGTGTATATATATTTTATCGATAGGTAGATAGATAGATAGATAGATAGATAGATAGACAGATACAGATATAGATTGTCTGGAAAAAGTCCAGTGATTATTAATATAATGAGAATGGTTTGTGTGATGTTGATGTAACCTGGCAGCCAAGGAGAGTGGACTGGAATGCATGTGCATGAACAATGATGACTTCACTGTACTAGTCAGTGGGGGGCAGTAGATGCTGTTGAATGAGGATGTGTGCTGTGTGGCTGTCATTTAAAATAACTGAGCAAGTAGAGCAACGAATCTGCATCAAATTTTGCATTAAGCTTGAACATTCCTCTGTGAAAGCTATTTGGATGATTCAGAAGGCTGCAGCTATGGGCAATGCATTGGCAGCTTCATCACAACAATGCACCCACTCATGCATCATATTTTGTGCAAAGATTTTTGGCAAAACATCAAATCACCCAGGTGACTAAGCGCCCCTTATAGCTGGGATTTGGTGCCCTGTGACTTATGTCTTTTCCCAAAACTAAAATCACCTTTGAGAGGAAAGAAATTTCAGACTGTTGATAAGATTCAGGAAAATACAATGGGGCAGCTGATGGCAATTAGGAAAACTGTATGAGGTCCCAAGGTGCATTCTTTGAAGGGGACTGAGGCATCACTGTTCTATGTACAATGTTTCTTTTATTTTGTATCTTCTTCAATAAATGTCTCTATTTTTTATATTACGTGGCTGGATATATTCTCAACAGACTATATATATGTATATGTATACTGTGTGTGTATGTATATGTGTATTATAGATATATAAGGTTGAAACCATAGAAGGTGAGACAAGTAATGGAATAAAGATCTGAGAGAGTGCCAGAACATGAGATCTGGAGCATAGGTCAAAGTATTCATATACCAAATCAAAAATAAAGACATATTCTTAAATCTCAAAGGAGAAATGAGAAATTAATGGTTGGGGAACTAGAAAGTTGGATGTAAGGAACCGAAGAAAGTCCCACAGATTGCATTTTCTTGGTGAGGTAGAATGTGGGATCATTACTGAATGCAAAAACTAGATGAGAAACTCATAATTTCTCTGGAAATAAAAATGCTTTGAAATTGCTGCCATGGAAAATGTGATAAAGAGCTATAAAGGGAAACAGGGAGATTTCTAGGCTATATCAATGTCCCAGTAAGTCTGGAAGAAATGTGTGATGATAGATGGCAGAAGTACCAGAAAAGCTTAATTTAAAATGAAATGTCTATATATTCAAATTGCCAAATGAACAACCCAATAATCCATTGCTTTAATCCCCAAAATAGGCCTCTCTTTGTGTCATATTTTTCCTTAATAAGATATTTTTACAAACTATCTTCCCAGCTTGTGAAGCATGATATCCACATATACAGAAGATCTCTCAGAAAAACAAACAAAACACCCCTCTGTTTGACCAAAGACTGTAAGTTCACCTGTGTGTCTCTAATAAAAAAAGGAAGAATTAATGTCTGGACAGGAAGGAGAGGAAATAAAGAAAAGAAGCAAACATACTTTTTGATTCCAGGTCCTGCCATGACCCTCAGCATGGGGCCTAGGTCTTCAGCATAACGGCACATTGGGCCAGTGCACTGAAATAGCTCCTGGGTTCCCGTGGCTGCAGGAAATTGACCCTTGTTGGAGACCACACCTGAAAGGTTAGACACTCAGGTTAGGTGTCCAAAAGACGACATGTCCCCTCGAATGAGTGAAATCATATGGCTATTAGGTTTTTCTCTCTGACCTATTTTGCTTAGCATGATATTCTCAGGGTCCATCCATGCTGTCACAAAACTGAAACTCACAGACACAGCAACAATATGGTGATTACAAGAGGGAATGAAGGGTGAAGGGGTAGGTAGTTAAAGGTAAGGGGCATCAAATATATGGTGAAAGATGATTTGACTTTAGGTGGTGGGCACACAATGTAATATATAGATCATGTATCTTAGAAATCCACACTTGAAACCTATATAAACATAAAAATCAATGTCACCTCAATAAAATTTAATTAAGAAAGACATGATCCTTGAATGTTGTATTTCCCCATCATGTTTAATCTGTCATAAAACAGGAGGGTAGAACTTCCAGTACACTCATATTCAATAGAAGCCACAAGAGTAGACATATTTTTCTTGTTCCTGATCTTTGAAGGAAAGTTTTTTGTTTTCACCAATAAATATGATGGGTGTTTTCATATACACCCTCATTTTTAATATAAAAAAATAATACTGTTTACTATATGGCAGATACTCTTCTAGGAGCTTTATAACATTACTCATTTAATTCTCATAATGACATTATGAAGTACGTGTTTTGGTTATACTGATTTTACAGATGAGACACGTGAGGCAGACATTAAGTATCTTGCTTAAGATTACATAGTTACTAAGTGACAGAATACCTGAAGTATAGCTTCCCAGACTGTTATCGATCACTAAACCAGTGATTCTAAAACTCTGGGTTTCAGGATCCTTTTTTATTCTTTTTATACTAGAATTATAGAAGACCCCAAAGAATTTTTGTTTACACAAGTTATACATATCAATATTTAACATATTAGAAATTAAAACTAAAAAGATATTAAAATATTTATGTATTAATTTGTTTAAAAGCAACAGTAAACCCATTATACATTAGCACAAAAACATTTTATAAAAAAATAACTATATTTTTTAACACAAAAATACATTTAGTGAAGAGGTCATTCATTTACATTTTTGCAAATCTTTCATGTTTGGTTTAAAAGAAAATACCCGGATTCTCATATCTGCTTCTGCATTCTGCATTTTTCAATATGTAATTTTGTTAGAAATAAAGAAAATCAATCTTATAAAGATATTTATTTGAAAAGATGGAAGTATTTAAAATCTTAACAGATAATCTTTCATATTCTCTGTTTATGTCATATCAAATCAGGACAAGTCCTATTTCTGATAGTATATTTATAATAAGAAATCTGAATTTTTATCAATGAATTTCATACTCTGTTACACTAACATTCATCAACATATCTCTTATTCTGAGTGAATCATTTTCCAATTCATAATTTTGTAACCCCAATCATTAGAAAAACATTAGTTCACGAAAATATACATTCTATATTATATTCATTTTACAGTATAAAAACTTCATTCACATCACCACTGATCTCTAAGAAAAATCTTTAGTTATTGTAAGGTTGTTAAGTTCATGTTGGTGGGCATAGGTTGTCAAAATTTCTAATTTTGGTTTGTATAAGGTTCTTAAAATACATGAGTAAAAGCCCAATCCAAAGAAATAGACAAATGGATTTGATGTATGTATGAAAATTTTTTAATTAGTAAGAAAAAACTGATGGTTACCAGAGGGGAAGGTGATTGGTGGGGGCTGGGTGTAAAATAGTGAAGGGATTAAGAAGAACAAACTGGTATTTACAGAATAGTAATAAGAATGTAAATTATAGCACAGGGAATGTAGTCAATAATATTGTAATAACTATATATGAGTCCAGGTGGATACTTGAAATAGCGGGTAGATGACTTTGTAAAGTATATTATTGTCTTACCACTATGCTGTACACCTGAAACTAATACAGAATAATATTGAATGTAAAGTGTAATTGAAAAATAAAAAATGAAAAATAATGAAAAAGTTCATGATTGTATTAAATATATAAATGCAGACTGAACTGTTGAAGATGAAAATGAACTACTGCATACACTTCTTTTTACCTTGCTTTTCCTTACTTATCCCTGTGCTGACATGAATTTTTGGTGTCCACAGGGTGGTTGTCGAAACAGAAAAGGTTAAGAAATATCAAATAGGACATCAGCATCATGGTGGCATAAGTTGTTTTCATTTTCTCTCAATTTTAAATACAACTAATTAAATATTGCTTAACTGAACAAAATTGCCTCTGCACATTACATCAAGGGACAGAGAAGATTTCTAGCCTACCTTTACATCCAAAAATAGACAAAAAAGGACTTGGTAAGTGCTGTGGATCCAAGAGAGTCAATGAGGGTCCCCATTCCAACTCAATGTGATGGGGGTAAACCCTGGAGAGCGCAACCTGGACATATGTCCTCTGGCCACACAGAATTTGTAGAAGCCCAGCCTGATTGAAGGGAGAATCCAGCATGCAATCAGTGCAGGATGGAGACACGGTTGGATGCACAGAAAAGGGAGAAACTCATTAAGCAATCCTCCTTCCCAGGGCACTACTGCAAGAGGTTGGACTTTTGACTGCAGCAGAAGTGATCATTCCAGTAGAGGAAGTGGAATGCTGTGACCTCTCCCACAAAGAAGACGGGAAATGAAAGTGGTGAGTGACTGTCTTGTTACCCCAAATGTGAGGATGTGGTTGTCCAGCAGCACCCATATTTCTGAGGAGGGACCTCCATGACAGGAGAGATGGAGGAGAAAGGGAAGGAATCAGATAAGAATAGCAAAGGGAATTAAATCAAGAATTCAGCAGGAAGTCCAAACACAGCATCTGGGAGTACCCAAGAGCAAAGACTCCCAAACTCTTTTCATGAGGCTACTATTATGTTACTTCCAAAACCATGTAAAGACACAACAAAGAGAGAAAACTACAGGCCAATATCATTGATGAACATAGATGCTAAACTCCTCAACAAAATATTGGCAAACCCCATCCAGCAATACATTAAAAACATCATATACCACAATCTACTGGGATCCATCCCAGGGATACAAGGATGAGACAATATTTGCAAATCAATAAATGTAATACACCACATAAACAATGAAAGACAGAAATCACATGATCATATCAACAAATGGTGAAAAAGTGTTTGGTAAAGTACAGCACCCATTTATGATAAAAATGCTCAGCAAAGAGTGAATAGAGGGATCATACCTTAACACAATAAAGGCCATATACAAGAAACCTACAGCCAACATCATACTCTATGGGCAAAAGATAAAAGCTTCCCCCGTAAGATCAGGAACAAGATAAGGATGTCCACTTTTACCACTTTTATTCAACATGGTATTGACAGTTCCAGTCACAGTGATCAGACAAGAAAAATAAATAAAAGGCATCCAAATTGGAAGGAACAAGTAAAACTGTCATTGTTTGCAGATAACATGATAACGTACATAGAAAACCCTATAGACCCCCACCAGAAAACTACTCAACTTAATAGGTGAAATTGGCAAAACAGAAGGATACAAAGTTGATATTCAGAAGTTGAAGGCATTGTTATATACCAATAATGAACAATCAGAAAGAGAAATTACAAAAACAACCCCATTTACTATTGTAACAGAAAATAATGTACCTAGGAATAAATTTAACCAAGGAGGTAAAAGAACTACTCAGAAAATTATAGGACGCTGAAGAAAGAGATTGAGAAAGATTGAGAAATAAGTGGAAGCATATACTGTGTTCACAGATTGGAAAAATAACATCATGAAAATGCCCACACTCCGCAAATCAATCTATAGATTCAACACAATTTTTATTAAAATACCAATGGCATACTACACATGTCTAAAACAAATATTCCACAAACTTATATGGAACAAAAAAAGACCCCAAATAGGCTCAGTAATCTTGAGAAAGAAAAACAAAGTTGGAGGGATCACAATACCTGATATCACACTATACTATAAGGCCACTGTATTTAAAACAGTCTGGTACTGGCATAAGAACAGACACATAGATCAATGGAACAGAATAGACAGCAGAGAAATAAACCTACCTCTTTATGGTTAATTAATATTTGACAAAGAAGGAAAAGAGCAAACAACAGAATAAAGACAGCCTCCTCAATAAGTGATATTGGGAGAACTGGAGTAGTACATGAAAAAAATGAAATTAGACCATCATCTTATACCAAACACCAGAATAAACTTGAAATAAGACTTAAATGTAAGTCATGATGTCATAAAAATCCTAGAGGAAAACATAATCAGTATAATTTCAGATATCTTGTGTAACAATATTTTTGCCAATATATCTCCTAGAGCAAGGGAAGTAAACGGAAATACAAACAAATAGGACTACATCAAATTAAAAACCTTCTGCACCATTAAAGAAACCAACATCAAAATGAAAAGGGAATCACTGTTGGGAGCACATATTTTCCAATGACACATGGACAAAAGTTTGATTTCTAAAATATCGAAAGAACTTGTATGACTCAACAACGAGAAGACAAACAATGCAATCAAAAAATAGGCCAAAGACCTGAATAGAGACTTCTCCGAAGAGGACATCCAGATGGCCCATAGACATATGAAAATATCTTCAACATCCAGAGAGGATATTAAAACCACAATAAGATACCCCACACCTGTCAGAATGGCTATCTTTAATAAATCAACAAACATGTGCTATCAAAGATGTGGAGAAAAGAGAACCCTAGTGCACTGTTGGTGGGAATGCAGACTGGTGCAGCCACTGTAGAAAGCAGTATGGAATTTCCTCAAAAAGCTAAACATGGAACTTCTTTTTGAGCCAGCCATTCCACTGCTAGGATTATACCTTAAAAATCATGAAACACCAATTCAAAATAACCTATGCATCCCAATATTCATAGCAGCATTATTTACAACAGCCAAGTGCTGGAAACAACCTATTAGTAAATGAGTGGATCAAAAAACTGTGATACATTTACACAATGGAATACTACACAGCAG